AAAGTCTTTTAGCTAATAGAAACAAAACAAAATTAAATATAATAAAACCACCTTAGGAAGATATTAACTTAGCTGACCTAGCTTCCACCAAACCTAAGCTCACTTAGCATTTTGGACCTGTAGAAAAACTTCCTCCATCTCATTGTACCTACCTTTCTGATGTACCTGCCAATATACCTTGAACTTGCCCTGACTTGTTCTGTAAAACTATGAAACTGCTTCCAAGTTGAAACATGGGGTTTGGGCTAACCCAAATCTGTGTTCCTGGGTCATGGTCTCCCAGTCTGGCTCCAGGATAAACTATCATTCCATGTAAGATGAGAGCTGCGAGAGCAATCCTGCAGATGAGGTGGGAGTGGAGGGAGGATTGTAGAAGTCAGAGGGGTCACAGTAACCACAAGAAAACAGCCCACAGAATCAACGAGGCAGGGCTCCTAGGGCACACAGAGACTGAACCGAGTATCAGGGAGCCTGCCTGGGTCTGACCTAGGCCTCTGCATTTATGTTATGGTTGCGTAGCTTGGTGTTCTTGTGGGACACCTAACAGTGAGAGTGGGCCAGTCTCTGACTCTCTTCCCTGCTTTTGGCCCCATTTTCTCGAGCTGGGTTGCCTCAGCCTTACCCTGAGGGATGCTGATCTATTACAACTTGCCATGACCTGTTTGGTTATTCCTGGCAGGCCTGCCCTTTTCTGAAGGGAAAGGAGAAGTGGAGGTGGGGGAGACTGGGAGGAGAGGAGGGAGGGAAAACTGCTGTTGGGGTGTAATATATGAGAGGAGTAAATTTTAAGAATAAGAAAATAAATCTTAAAAAGAGCTTTCAGGGCTGAAGAGATGGCTCAGTGGTTAAGAGCACTGGCTGCTCTTTCAGAGGATCAAAGATGAGAACTGTGTTTTTTCTTTTTGAAAGCATGAACAAGGGACATTTTTTCAGTCCTTTCAAATAGGCAGTTACTTCACTTTACAATGTATTACCATTTTTATTGTTGCTATGACAATGTTTTATACACAATAATAACAGATTAGGAATCTATGCCTGAAAATAAGCTGTGCTAGGAAATACATCAGAATGATCTCTTGCTTTAAATATAAGGATGTTGACAACGTGGTAGGTAAGGAAGCTCAGTGTTGCTGCAGGGCAACTAATGGTCTGTGGCACAGACCAATCTCATTCTAGCTTCAAGTTAATAAATTGCTAGTTCACAGAAAATCAACAGGCACTTAAGGGCATACTTAATGTCACTACCATGTGATTCTTATTGCTGAAGAACTGCTATAAAATACTAGCAAGTTAAGAAACACCAACCTCAAGGAAGGAGCAGTCCTGTTAGGCCACAGAGGAGGGCTTTGCAGCCAGTCCTGAAGATACCTGATAAAACAGGATTGGATGAATGGGGAGGAGGTCCCCCCCTATCAGTGGACTTGGAAAGGGGCACAGTGGAGATGAGGGAGAGAGGGTGGGATTGGGAGGGGATGAGGGAGCGGGACACGGCTGGAATACAGAGTTAATAAAATGTAACTGATAAGAAAAAAATAAAATTAAAAAAAAAGAAACACCAACCTAAGTTAATTATGTTTTTTAAATTTGCTTTATTATGTGTATATACATATTTAATTTTATGAGTATGGGTGTTTGTGTGCCACATGTATGTTTGTGTACCACTTGTACCTGTGGAAGCCAGAAGAGGACATCTGATTCTCTGGAAATGGAGTTACAGATGGTTGTGAGCCAGTATGTGAGATTCTGGGGACTACAACAGGGTTCTCTGAAAGAATAGTGTTCTTAACCACTAAGCCACTCTCCAGACCCATATTTTTTGTGTTTTGAGAGGGGGTGTCATGAAATCTAAAATGGCCTTAAGCCATTATGTAACCAACCATGATTCTGAACTCTCCTCCCAAGTGATAGGATTATACATTTGTGCTATCATACATAGCTTTGAAATTTTTGTTTCTGGAGTATATAAAGTACATGAGAAAATAACTTCTTATATTAAGTCACTTAATATAATGGTTCTTATATTACATATAGAACAAGAATTGATATGAAGAAATTAATCAGCATATGCCTATAGTTCTGCACCTGAGAGGTTGTGGCACAGAGCTAAAAATCTACACCACAGCACAGCACACAACACAGCTCAGCACAGCACACAGCACACAGCACAGCACACAGCACAGCACAGCACACAGCACAGCACAGCACACAGCACAGCACACAGCACAGCACAGCACAGTACACAGCTCAGCACAGCACACAGCACAGCACACAGCTCAGCACACAGCACAGCACA